ACTATTATTAATTAGGAGACCGGCTGCTCACATATGTGTAGTATTGTAGAGAAATCAGGACTCGTCAAAATGATGAAATCGGGGAAACCCTCATTTGTGCAATTTTTGTAGATTTTTTTTCTTGGCTCAGCATTTTTTTATATCCCTTTAAGAACATATTGATGTGTGAATTTTTTAGAAGAACGTTGATCAGAGGCACACAAAAAATGTAGATCTAAATTTATAGTTTCCAAGGACACTCAAGCTTTGGAAGTCACCAAGGTTTGGCGGCTATTTTCTCCCCAAATTTTACCTCTGAAATCAGACGACCCCCACCTCCTCCAATTGCAAATATCCCGACTCCAGTTCAACATAGATTCAAGAATTTTTTTCCTATTAAAAGCAAGAAAAATGAACAAACTTTAAGGTTCCACTATGCCCGAAAATTGACGTGTGCCAGATTCCAACGTGTCGTAACACATCTCTATGTAGACAGGACAATAAATTGATGAGGGGAGTGGGGGGGGGGGATGTTGCAGTTGCATAGTTAGTAGGTGAGCTGCTTACGAATACGTTAAGGTAATTAAAAGATATTTTAGCTTGTTCCAATAGCTGACCTGGTGATGCATACACGTAGATCTATAGTAAAGACAATTGGAAGATACATTGGGGATGTACCTTTATTTGAGGGTGTTACAGTCGTTGACCTAGTGAGTGCAGTGAGCACCGAAGATTAGAGCTGTTACTAGAGCAACATACAAATAAATAGAGGGAATTATAAGGATGAAAGGTGTTTGATTGGAAAGAAGGAAAGAAAGAGCAAACCACATAACAGCACAAACAAAGACAGCTGTCCCTACATAGAACATGAATGGGATAGACAAACAGATAGACTGACAGAGAGTGATATTGAGAGCAGGGGCGAAGCGTCTATATAATCAAATAATCACTGCTTCCCTTTCTAATTTTGAAACAATGTCGCTGTCAAATTCATCCTTAAACGTAAACCTCATAAATTAAATGTCAAAAGACGTTCGTAATCAACAAATAAAGTGAGGCTGGAATAGAGTTGAAGGGAACATGTGCATGGCAGTCAAAGCTGTTTCATTGCCACATATACCCTGTTCACCTCTTTGGGGCCACAGTTAAAATCAATCACCAGCCCTGATTAAGTAAGCTAACTAACACTGGTCGAGTCTACCTCACAAATGTGAGGGGAACTAACTCTTAATAATCTCTTGACTGCTGCTTGTGCTTGGTTTTTTTTCCTCGACTTTTTACCGTCCTATAATCAGATCGTGACCTCGATTATGACACCAGCTCCAGGCCGCGAAAGGCTAACAAAAACAGCCAAATGTGAAATTTAAAAAATAATAATTGTCATGTTCTACCAAAGAGTTAGACTCACTGGTAGATCTATAACATATAGATCTAGTAATATCATATCTGGTTCTTGTCTTTGAATGTATGTATTCACATCTAAAACTAAGTTTAATTTTGTTGGGACATTATATTTTATAAGATGTTTCCCGATTACTTTTACTTTTTCTTCGTTCCATGAATTCCGGATTTGTTTTCATTCCCAACTCAGGGTCTACGCCTCGTTTAAGATTCTTGTGTGATATCTACAGGCCCTATCTGGTCCCATTTCACTTTGATTACCCTGTCAAACAATTCTGAGTTAACCCCTGATCGACAGAGAGAGAGAGAGAGAGAGAGAGAGAGAGAGAGAGAGAGAGAGAGAGGGGGGGGGTACACAGAGAGAGAGATAAAGGTACAGAAAAAGAGACAGAGAGAAACCCAGAGAGAGAGAGAAAGAGAGAGAGAGAGAGAAGGGGGGGAGGGAGGGGGAGAGAGAGAATGATACGCAGAGAAGGTGACATAGAGAGGCAGAAAGAGAGAGAGAGAGAGAGAGAGAGAGAGAGAGAGAGAGAGAGAGAGAGAGAGAGAGAGAGAGAGAGAGAGAGAGAGAGAGAGAGAATCAGCCAGCTAGTCAGCCAGACGGACAGAGGCACAGACAGACAGACAGATGTTGTTGTTGTTGTTGTTGTTGTTTTCAAATCCCTTTAGCTGCGAGCATTTCGCTCTTGGCAGCGCAATGCCTCCCTTAAGTAACCACATGTCCTTGTGATCTGGTCAACGCCAGAGTAGAGCAGGGTTTGTAAGTCTGTAGGTGTATGTAAGAGCCTGCGTCGAAGAACTGCCAGGTTTGGACAGAGAAGGAGAAGATGTTTAACGGTCTCCTCGTGGTAGTCACAGTGTCTGCAATGGGGTTCCCACTTGGGGTTAAGTCTGTTTATGTGCTTGTTGGTGTGTAAATGTCCTGTGCGGGCTCTGAAGAACAAAGTCTGATTGGCTCTACATAAGAGATTCGAAGGGTCTTTGGGGTTGGGTTTGTCCATGTACACAAAGAGAGATCTTCCTGTTTCTGCGTTGGCTCATCTGTTTAGCCACTCGTCTCTGCTCTTGGCTTGGATGATCCCTCTGCAGGTCTGTAAAGAGGCGGCTGTGTCTGTCTGGGGAAGGTTTGCTCTAGTCTTTGATAGCTGGTCTGCAGTCTCATTCCCTGGTACACCAGAGTGGCCAGGCACCCACTGCAGTGTGACCCGGACGCCATAGGAAGTGCCCATCTCTTTTACAACGCTGAGAATGTTCCCGTCCCCTCTGTGGTCTCCTCCTCCTTCGATGGCTTGGAGCACTGACATTGAGTCAGAGAAGACAACAACATCCACTGATGTTACTGCGCCTTCAAGAAAGTCTTGGGTGATCTGCTCCAGGGTCTTTACTATGGCAACTCTCTCTGCGTCATAGTTGGAGTTGTATGTACCACATGGACCAAATAGTCGGGTCTGCTTCTTCTTTCCAAGGTTGTTTCGATATTTGAAGATGGATCCTTATCCAGCATTCCGTGTAGCATTTGTTGCCGACCCATCTGTGAATGCGTGAATTGGAGTTTCAGCATACGAGTCCACTGTCTCCAGTGCACTAGTTCTGAGGATTTCTTCTGGGGTTGTCTTGTCACAAAAAGGGTCGAGAAGTCTCGTCCTTATTGTGATTTCTGGTGCCTGCCAATATGGAGGTTCACTGCTGATGTTGGGGATTGGTTATCTGTTCTCGGGTGGGTCAAACTCCTCCAGTAGTTTTGTTGCTTCTCGCATGAAGGAGGTCTTCTGGATGCGTGTTCTTGGTTCCCACTCATGTGCCATTTTCCTATTTTCGTTCGTGTCTTTTAGCTGCACAAATCTTTCGTAGGTTTCCAGTGAAGCACTCTTTCTTCTGAGGTCCTGTGGCTCTATGTTGGTGTGGATTTCGCAGGCGTTTTTAGGCGTGGTCTTCGTCGCGCCAGAAACAAATCTGAGTGCTTCGTTCTGTACTGTCAAGCTGTGCCAAAGAGCTTTGGCTGGCTATGGATTGTAGTGGTACGGAGAAGTCAATCACAGATCTGACATACCTATATAAAGTTGTCGGAGGGTTGCTTTGTCAGCTCCCCAGTTGAGTGATGAAAGGTGTTTCAGAAGGTTTAGTCTGGAGGTGGCTTTCTTCGTCAGCCCGCTTAAGTGCTCTTTGAGAGACAGCTTTCGGTTCAGTTGTACACCAAGGTACTTGGGATAGTCGTCATGTTTGATGTTAGTTCCATTGATCTTAAGGTTTACCTGACCTGCTCTAACTTTGTTTTGAGGCTGAAGAGTCCAAAAACAGTCTTGTCTGTGTACATCTCCATCTTCCATAGCTGGCAGTAGGACGAGATAGTAGTCAGAGATAGACAGATAGACAAACACACACACAGTTACATAGATAAACAGATTCTCAGATTCACAGACACCTAGACAAACAGGCACACAGAACAACATACACACAGACAGACACACAGACACACAGACACACACACACACACACACAGATACGCAGACACACAGACGCACTGGTGCACAGACAGACACGCAGATAGACAGACACAAAGACAGACAGTTTTGTTCCTACCACCGACAGGAATGGACCTCAGGTGAGACTGCCAAAGTTGAGCACCAGGGGGCGTTGTTCTTTCACCAGGTGTGACAGGCGACAACTGTCCCCCTCTAGCGTGAAGAGCGGGATATCCAACAGCCCGACTCCTACTTTCACTTTCTTCAGAACGTTATACGTAACGATCATGGCGGCGTGCTTCATCCTCGAGTAGGGATGAGTTGCGCATCGTCTCACGGCTTCTTTCCTTTTCCCCTGGAACGACAAAATTAGAAGGATACAAAAACATGTCGCTGCCAATATTTTTCGTCCCTTTTAACACAGGTTAGATAATTCAGGATACAGGCAGATTCGACTCCGTCAGTTAGGTCCAACCCTGGCTGAGAGGGGTACATCACCCCAGCAGACCGACAGATATACTCAACTGGAGAATAAAACCAACAACAACACCCCCCCCCCTACACACACACACACACACACACACACACACACACACACACACACACACACACACACACACACACACACATAAACAATAACAGCATCATTTGGCGGACCATGGAGGAGCAACAGTATTTGAAAAAAAATAAATAAATAAATAAATCTAGATCTAATTGAAACAATAAAAGACAAAAAAGATCCCGTCCACTGGAAGAGCGACCACTGTGCTAAACGAATTGCTTGACTTATTAATATTGACCATAGTACATGTATAGATACTCGATGTCTTTGGTAAGGTGTTTGCTGCTTACGGATGTTTGTGTGTTTGTGTGTGTGTGTGTGTATGTGTGTGTGTGTGTATTTGTGTGTGTGTGTGTGTGTGTGTATGTGTGTGTGTGTGTGTGTACATTGGCTATGTTTCTGTGTGTAAGTGTGTGTACATGTCTGTGTGTCTTTGTAGGTGTGTTTGTGTGTGTGTGTGTGTGTGTGT